ATATATATATATATATATATATATATATATATATATATGCCTAAAAGCAATCTAAACACATTTTGCACAGATTACTACGTTAAAACGTGAATTTATGTGTTGCATTTTTATGGTTGATTCTCATGCCTTGCTGATTAATTATAACAAATATCTATTTTTCACTTTCAAGTATCACATTTAATGTCAAAGTCTAATTTACAGTCAAATCAAATCCAGAGAAAAAGTCTAGATGTTTTACTTGTTGTAAGAAAAAAGGAACAAGTGAGTTCTGTTTAATGATGAATTAGGCTGAATCTTTAAACCTGTACCAGTTATACTTTGAAACTATTAAATGATGTTTGCATCTTTTACATTACACTAGACATTATATTATCGCATGATATAAAACCAATGGCTTTGTGGCAAACGCAAAAATTTACAAACGTGACGAAAGATATTAATACCATTTTATGTTTCCACAGAGTGAAGCCTGAAACTACACCAGATAACATTAAATTAATAACAAGCAACCGTACTCATTTTTACCTGTAATATCTTGACTGAAGATAAGTGGAACACACCGCCTTCGAAACATGGCTAGCTGAGCCAAAGTCGATCACCTTTACCCTGAAAGGATGACGTATGGGGTCTACTAGCATGATGTTTTCCGGTTTCAGATCAGCGTGGATTAACCCGAGTTGCTGGAGAAAAAATACGAGATCCACTAAATATTTCACCTTAATTGAACCAACCAGAAGTACTATTTAACTTCACTGTTAGTCTAACACAGTGGTTTTCAAATGGTGTTCTGTAGAACCCCAGGGTTTCATGAAGGGTTATCAGGGGTTCCCCACAAAGTTAACTTGTGTTTTGTTTTCTCAATTATTGAGTATTTAATACTGTTACAAACTTGGTCACTTTCACGTAGGTTAGGCTTTAAGGGTTGGGATTCCTTGACAGAAGGAATGAAATAGGAGATTTACATAATTCATAAACTTTGAAAACCACTGGTTTAACATAATTTTCTTTTCTAACAATTAAATTAGTGTTTCTAAGAGAACAAAAAATTATCGTAGAACTGGGCCTTCTAAATTCTTAATTAAATAAATATAACTTTATTTTACCTTTAACTTGAGAAGAGCACTAAGAACCTGCTGTAGGACGGGACGGATGTACTTCAGTGGGAGAGGTTTGAACTTGTTCTGTTTAAGGAAATCATACAGGTTCTGCTCTAACATTTCAAACACCAGACAGGTGTGGTTCTTGTGGGTGAAACACTCATAAGCTCTTACGAAATTGAACTAAAAAAAATTAGAAAAAAACCCAAGAAAATTAAGTGATGTGTTCATGACTTTGTAAGGTTTACTGTAAATGTTAACAATAGAAAATTATATATAAAGTTACAACAAACTGGGTACTAGGTTACACAATACGCCAAACTGAATAACTATCTCAACTAGAGTTGAGAAGCCATTTCAAAATAAGTTAATCCATCAAGTATTTAATAACTTAGAAATACTACCTGGAAAACATATTTAATGTACCAGCAGTTAGAATTACACAGTATATATTTTATAAGTGCAAAGCTTGTTGAATTATTAAGTATTACATACTTCACACAAATTAAAGTTATAGAAGCTTGACTCAATCTGTGTAAACTACCTGATATCGGATATAAGTTATATCTCAGCTTGCCTAAAACTGCAGTATGTTATATAACAAAAACAAACAATTGTTAGAAAAATAGTAACCCATATCACCTACACCATGATATCTGTGTGCAACATGATGTATAATCTACTGTATGATATCTGTGTGCAACGTGCTGTATAATCTACAGTATATCTGTGTGCAACATGATGTATAATCTACAGTATGATATCTGTGTGCAATGTGCTGTATAATCTACAGTATGATATCTGTGTGCAATGTGCTGTATAATCTACAGTATGATATCTGTGTGCAATGTGCTGTATAATCTACAGCATGATATCTGCGTGCAATGTGCTGTATAATCTACAGCATGATATCTGCATGCAACGTGCTGTATAATCTACAGTATATCTGCATGCAACGTGCTGTATAATCTACAGCATGATATCTGTGTGCAATGTGATGTATAATCTACAGCATGATATCTGTGTGCAATGTGCTGTATAATCGACAGTATGATATCTGTGTGCAATGTGCTGTATAATCTACAGTATGATATCTGTGTGCAATGTGCTGTATAATCTACAGTATTATATCTGTGTGCAATGTGCTGTATAATCTACAGTATGATATCTGTGTGCAATTTGCACACAGATATAATACTGTAGATTATACAGCACATTGCACACAGATATCATGCTGTAGATTATACAGCACATTGCACACAGATATCATACTGTAGATTATACAGCACATTGCACACATATCATACTGTAGATTATACAGCACGTTGCACACAGATATCATACTGTAGATTATACAGCACATTGCACACAGATATCATACTGTAGATTATACAGCAACTGTAGATTATACAGCACACATATATTAAATCTTCTTTCCCTATATCTTCACACAGTTGCACTTGTCTTGGCTACACTTATAATGCACACCAGGGGACTCCCCAGGTTTTCTAGTGGTTATATTCTATGTTGCGTATGTCAAAACTTCGTCACATGATTACAACAAATCTTGAGCAGGAAAACATGCTTTCACACAAGTTTCGGGATAAATTCTCAGATTTCTCCAACATACAATGGTTTAATTTTGCAGCTATATATTGCTCTTTAGCCATGATAAACTTCGAAAACAAAAAAATTAACAATGCTTTCATTTATACAAGAGATTCCCCTCCCACATCACCTCAGAATAATCAAGACAGTGAATGTTGGAGAAGCCCCAAGATTTAACCCAAGTAAGTTTTAAATCCCTGTAAGGTGTGTGTTACATGTACGTACATCAAGATGAATCTGTAGCGTTACCGAAATCACCAAGTTTAACCTTTGACAGTTACTACAAGATGAATGAACATGATATAAAAAAATGAATGCTTCTACCATGAAATCAAGAACAAAAAAAAAAACCACATTCTAACAAAATTTTAAAAAAATTGTTCTCCACGAGTAATAATTACTGCTGCCCTAGTGAAAATGTGATAAATTACATTATAAAAATTACAGTTTCTGGATAAATTACAAAAAATACCTCCTGCTGTCAGCTGTTAATAAACAAACACAGTGAAACATACCAAGCAACAGTGTATCAAAGAATGCTACATTAAAACTACCTGTTGGAAACTTATAAGTACTTTTAATCATTAAATGCACTCTCAAGTCTACTTTAAAAAACTATAATTTGCTAAACTTTAGGGCTGAACTTTCTTACAGATAGTTCTTTTTAATACTTGTTCTTGAAAGTGGATAATACTCCAGACTCTTTGAAGAGTCTGCCTTCAAGTCCTGAAGAAAGCCTCCACATGGAACCTAGCAATGTTTACGTCAAGAAATTACGAGCAGTCTTATGTAAAAGCTTCTGTGTGTAAATAATGTTAATTTTAAACACAGCTTCTAGTTATCTGTGAAAAGAAGGCAATTAGGCCATTCTATACTGAAGCATGTTCATTACGTTTCAAGTCAGTAAACAGCGAAACTTTTCTTATTCCGAGCTTAAATATTTATTCAGAAATAATGACTTCACATTTGTCCATAAAAATGTTTCGTAGTAACAGCTCTACTACCTCATCTGCACTTTCCTGACTCAAGCGATGCAGGATGCTGACTTCTATCTGACCTTGTCGGGCATAAGAAGGATGGTTCTTTAGGATTTTGATTGCCACAATTTCATTGGTCCCTTTCTTCCAGCATTTAACCACCTACAATTAAGTAGCAACATAATTATTTATACCAACAGTGCTTATTTTCTATCTATTTTGAATAAAATTCTAAGAAAAGAATAATTTGTAAGAGTATTAAATAACTGCCTTTAAAAGTGTAAATATTGGTCTGAAAGTCATTAAGACTACAAAATGACATGAAGTTTTTAATGTGTGCTAAATAGAAAGTTGGATCTAATTTCACAAGTTTGAAGGTTGTTTTTTTTTTTGCCATATAAAAGTAAACAACAATATTTTTTATATTTTGTTTTTCTTATTCAAACAGAAACAGGATAATCCTTTTAGAATTTATTTTCTTTAGTCAACCATTAACAAACTA